CAAAGAGGTCAATAGTTGAATCTTCCTTAGATGTAATAGCTAATGATTGTCTACGAACTTAAATTCTTTCATTGGCAATGAGACAGAGGTAGGGATTGGATGGCATTGATGGAGACATGGTGAGAAAGTAGGATCTGAGGTTAAGATTGAACAAATTTAGATGGGTAGGAGTAAGTAGAGGGAAGAAAAATTATATGGCTCCAAAATCACTAAATTTTGATCTAAGTGAAATTTTATATAAGCCAATTTCAGACTTTCCTAAAGTATAATTTGACCTGTATCTTAATTTCGAGAATATATTAATGAACTAACAGAAATAGATCACCCCATAAGCTTCATACACTAACTATCAGCCATGGTTCTGTGTCATCTCTGGTGCATTTTATAAGGTAAGATGAATTTATTTACAAATATTTATTGATCACTTGCTTTGTTGCAAGGCACTTTCATAGGCTGAAGATACAGAATAGGATAGATGAGGTACTTGCCCACATATATATAGACAAGGAAAAGGGTAAACTTCAGATAATTAGTTATGCAGAGGCTTTACAGTGATATGAAGAGACTACCTGATTAAGTAGTCTGGGAAGGACACCCATAGGAGGTGACACGTGAGCTAAGATCTGAAAAACAAAAATGAACTAGTCCTACAAATCCAATATAAAAGGAAGAAATTCTAGGTAGAGGGACTAGCTGGTGCAAGGATGGGTACAACCCCACCTCCCCCCGGGGCCTTATCATGGAAGGTTGAGGAGAGCATGTTGGAGGTTGACTTGGAATGGTGGAAAGGGGAAACATTATTGCCACATAGCACTTGCATGATGAGGGATATCCATATTTGAATAAATTGCATCTCGACTGGTTATGAACATTGTGCCAAAAGGTCATGTGAACAGGTTTCATTGATAGGTACCAGATGCTGAAGTGCTGTATGATATCATGTAATTTGTTGTTGCTTCACATTAAAGCTAATGCATTGATCTTCTTTAAGTTACATTGTGCGCCCTGAAGAGGACACCAGACCTCTATTCTTTATAGTACCTTGTCCAGTGTAATAGTGCAGTAATTAGGCCTTAACTAATGAATCTGTATTGAGTGAATGGTAAAAAACTTTGCTTTTAATCATTGCTACAAACTATATCCCTAACTTGAACTAGCTATTTCACAAATAGTCCGCATAGTTAGTAAAAGGGACTATAAGGCCTAGTTGATCAGTGAAAATTCATTACTCAAAAACAATTCTAAGTACATTTTGTAAGTAATACCATATACAATCTAAAATGACCTGTTGCAAGATCTGAGCCTGCTCTCTTCTGAATTTCCTGCTTCATATTCTTTGGGAAGTAAAATTACAGAAGTATTATCATCCACCACTATTTGTTTATAATACTATCTCTACACCAATGAGGTTAAAATGTTGTTGCTTTTTTATACTTGAGAACTTTTAGGGAGAAAAACATTTGTTCATTTCATGAAAAATATCTTGTGTGTCCAGTCACTAGCAAGACTACAGAGATGACTTATCACCTCCTAACTCCCATTCCATAGCTCCTCATTCCAGCTGACACCATTCTCCAGTCCACTAGGGTTCCCCTGTCTTGGTAATACTTGTGGTTAGACAAGCTCCAAAAGAATACCTATCCTCTCTATTGAAATGTTTTTTTCATGCTTTAAAATTCCCAGGTCCTCACTGTTTCTACAGTAACCTCTCTGGAATGTTAATCTGTGCTATTGCTTTGGTGAGTTTAGAAAACATAAAGCTCCGTTTTTATAGTCAAGCCATACATAGCCTCTCCTTCTGTCTCCGGTCTATTTTCTTAAGCCTTTTGCAAGAAGGCTCCAGGAATTTGGTCTGCCTACCTCTCTCTTTCCAGAAATCACCCATCTACTTTATTTCCAGGGAATGGTTCATCCATCCTTGCCTTTGGGAAACAAGTTAGTTCTTGGATTCCTGAGGAAAAGGTCTGTGGCCATTAAGGAGACTGGTCATTTGCTGACTTTATTTTTTACATTTAACCTGTCTCTGCAAAGTCTCTCATCTGAACAGTATGTGTTATGGGAGATTGAAGAAGTAAATACTGGCCATGGCCATGTTTGTATCCTCCTTCCTAGGTACAAGGCAACAGGAGTAACTAAGTGTGACATTAATTAGCTGCAAAAAAGATTTGTAGGTATCGGGAACAAATATAAAGGACTTAAATGTGGATACTACCATAGCTTCACAGAATGTGTCCACAATCATTTTAGTCTTCCAGATACCTGATTTTTCCATACCAGTTCAAAGAACTATAGCATGTTATCAGGCACTACTATAGGATTTACTTGGTTATGACTGCCTTCAGTAGTTAAAACATATATGCAATAAAAGTATCCAAGTATATTCTCCTGGCTTTTCTCCTTAAAGACCTGCATATAGGCCTGGGTTTAGGAAATACAATTGGTATTGTCTTTTGAGCAATACTTGCTACTATTTTTTTTTTTATGGTTTATATGGGCATTCTAATCTAGTAATATTAACACATTTGTTTTACAGCCTTCTAATTATTTATGGAAAACTCCAGAAACAAATCAGTAGCCAGTATCTACGAGCAAATTCTTTGGATTTTCCTTTAATTTTGGAAATCGAGAAATAGGTATTACCTTGGTATTACCAAAGGGTCCAATCATAGAAATAGTAAAAATCTATGATATAAGATAGTTGTCAGTATTTCTGATTACTAAAAACATTCAGTGACATTAATAAGTGTTTTAGGGGCACGTGGGTGGCTAATTCAGTTAAGCATCCAACTTTGGCTCTGGTCATGATCTTGCAATTCATGGGTTCAAGTCCCACATGGGGTTCTGTGCTGACAGCTTGGAGCCTGGAGACTGCTTTGGATTGTGTCTCCCTCTCTCTGCCCCTCCCCCATTCTCTCACACACACACACACACACACACACACACACACACACTCACTCACTCACTCTCTCTCAGAATATTTTTTAAAAGTTTAAAAATGTTCTATATTGCAAAGAAGCAGAATAGCTTTCTATTAATTGAACAAAAGTATTACATTTGAAGAAATACAAAATAAGTTGAACACTGCTGATGTTGACCCAAAATTTCCCCTCAGCAGTTCCAGATGTAACTAGATTTCTGCTTGAAAAATGCATATAAAACTACTGAACTCATTCTTAAATTTAGGATGATAAAACATTCAAATCTAAGTTGAAGATAAAATCTTTTCGATTGTGAAGTTAAGAATTCCTCTAATAATAATAAGACTTAGAAAACTTAATACTTCGTTCCTTTTATAATATTTAGAGGTCCTTTATGAAATTGTTAGCTCTTGTAGCATGCTTATGGAGTATCGTGTAATAAGGCCACCACTAATAATCTTGGGGAACTTTTCATTGGCAGAGGATCATGGGTATGAAATTCTTATTATGAATAAAATTGGAGGTTATTGCAGTTAAGTTTTATTGGAAAAATCAAATTTTCATAATATGAATATTCTTTGTAACAAACATTAAGATTTTTGGACTAGTAATTGAGAAAGTTTTGTCTTCCACCTTTGTAATACTGAAAAGGAACCAAATGTTATTATGTGGGCCTTTGAAGAATACCATCGTAGCACTGTGCTCAGAAAAATGTGGGGAAAATGAAGTAAAAGCTTGATTTTTTTTTTCCCCCTCCTCTCACTGCCTTTTACCATCAGAGAATTGGTTTGTAGCTGTACTTTTCTAGAGAGGCGAACAATATATCCCTCTTATCCACAATGTGTTTGTAATTCACTATACAGTTATGTTTAAAGCTTTTTTGCATTCTGTTCAATTTTTGGTAAACAAATTAAGGGACTTGAGCAGGGTCAAAGATGTAGATCAGTAGGCAATCATTCCTAGATAGAGATACTGACTCCATGTAGAATGCTTTTCTTCTCCCTTAGATCATCAGCCCCACAAAAGCAAGGGGACTATGCCCACCCCAATCCTGACGTTTCCTCAGCATACTGTGTGTGGTAGAATTCAAACATTTGTTCTATAGATAAAGAACTGTTTGATCTCATGAGAAAGCCATCTGCTGCAGTAAAATAACTAATATATTTATTTCTGATAAAATAATTTTCAAGGAAAGTAGACATAAAATGAACTAGAATTTATGCTGGCCGTTACACTTTCTTTGTCGTGTATTGTCAAGCTGTTTATCAATCTGGTAGTCACTTGACTATCTGAATCTTAGAGAATGAATTTATAAGATTAAGGAATTTGAGTAGGTGAACATAGCTGGAAAATTCTAGATGTGATTCAGATTCTAAATTGCTTCCCAATTCTGAAATCACTTAGTAAGCAAAGACCACAAAATTTTCAGGTTATAAGTAATAGACAATGAATATTAGAAAATTTAAAATTTTTAATAAATGTGCTTTGTTCACAAAAAGTGAAAAAATACAACAAACACAAACATACAGTTTTCAGGTATGCCACCTCCCACTGTTTGGCAACTACGATAAAAACCACTTTTGATCTAGTCATGATCCTGAAGAATCTAACCAAATGATCATTTATTTTTGCAACTCCAAATTATTTTGGAGAATCCTGTTGTGAAACAGGAGATCTTTTAAAACTTACTTATATCCAAATGAAATCATTCTTAGGAGTACCAATCCAGTATTAGAGGGCTTTGTTAACTTCTGTCATTACATACACAATCTGGCACCAAGCCACAGGACTGCTTATATTTTAACACTTAAACATTAATTGGCTTTGGTGGAATATGTATTAGTTTAAATCCTGTACCAACCTAATTTGAAGCTGAATTTACAGTAACAAATGATATTTATAAATGCAAACAAATTTATACTAAGTGGGAGTAGGTTTTATAAACAGACTTTTCTTTAAAGTACTACTTAAAATATACATCATGCACACTTTGGAGCATAAGCAGAATCAACATCTGTAAACAATCAGAAGAATTTATAGCACCAACATTTTAGCTGTAACACAAAGGCTGACTCCAAGATCATACACCAGCCTCTCAAAAGCACTGTTGTCATTTACTTTCAAAGCACTTTAATTAGATACATTGTTTTCTTTGCCCTTAAGCTTGTATTCAGCCAAGCCAAAGGAAATGGGCAGTATGGTAAAAGGGGTACTACCAAAACACAGTTTTGTTACCTTAACACTGTTTTTTTTTTCCTTTCTTTGTGGGAGCTACAAGACGTGACCTGTAGTGCTTAATTGGAAAGGAAAGTCAATCCTACTTATTTACTCTTAAGCCATTGAAAGTAAATGAAACCTTCCACGTTATTCTTCACATATTTGAGTAATCAATACTGCATTTAGTCAACTGACTTTTTTAGGTTAATTACAATCCTGTAACTTTCATTAATTTAGAATGAGATTTCATGTGAAATACTGGGTATATATACCCAATGATTTATATCTTAAAGGGTAAATTTTGTATTTCTAAATAAGTTTGACATTCAAAGTTAACTACAGCAATCACAATAAGCACAAAAACATCAGTTTTACCAAAGAAGTGCAGTTTATGAAATTTAGGATCAACTATTGAAAATGCAAGTTTCCTTTAAACACACACACACACATACACACACACACACACACACATACACACACACACACACACATTAACCATGAATTCTGAAACTGCGATATTTCAGTGCAAAAACCTCAGTATGAGGTAATTTTAATGTAATAACCACTTGAAAAAAATCCACACAGTGGCACTCTTAAAAATGATAGTTTACATGACAATTGCTGGCTGACAAGACAATGTGGACTAAATGTTCTTAGCTATTTAAACTAATCTTGTCTTGTTTGGACATATTTTTCACCTTAATCACTTCTGATTCAGAAACACAGAAAGTCAGTTATTGATGTGGAAAGGGAAAATTCCCACAGCCAACTAATTGGTTTATGTATTCAAAGAAAATTTTATGCTAGAATTCTGATAGAAATTAGAATACCGAAAGGTTGAAACCATTTCATGAGCTTACTAGCAGAGGGTTAATTTAAAAATTTTCTATGTAATTCCAGACTAGTAGTGCAGCACACCTCCTTAATGGAAAGGTGAGGACCCTAACATGGTTGGTCTAGACAGAACATAAACTCTTACAAGTGCAAACCTTTTCACCAAGGTGTTTCAGGTCAGGATTGAGTACTGTTCCTTGCTTAAAAAGAAAATTTTGGAAATGAAAGCTAAATTTAAAAAAGGTAAGAATGAACTCTCACAGTAAAATACACTGAACACCAAGGCCTAAATCATTATCAAAGATAGGAACATTCTACTTGGGCAATGGTGTTTATTGTACTGTACTAATGAAATTAGAATACATACTTGGGGGAAATCTTTCCCCAAATGTCTGATGCTGAGAAACGAGCAAAAGAGGGGGAAAAAAATCAATTCTAAAAAGTTGAAGAAATGCTGGTCATCAGATAAAATGGAACAGAAAATGACTTTCTGTAACATAACAATTTTTCTAGAAAAGAGAATAAGTGCATCACAAAACAACTAAACCAGTCTATCTCTGTGTCACATTTAACTTGTGAGTCATCAAAGTGCAAGCTACATCTTTCTACATATCATTCTCATTGCAATGGCTTAAAGTCAACACTGAAAAGATTAAAAAAGGGAAAATACACAGCAAGTTATGCTTCATTTTTCACAATAGCACTAAAGAAAAAAGGTACCTTTCTATGATATCTTAGTGCTAAATGCTAAAGTAACAATGGTTTCTGCTATGACAGGAGTCACTCTGCATGAAACTTTAAGCTTTCTATATAAGAATAAATTTTAAAATCCAGAAGTAGAAAAAAATAGCAAACTCTGTAAACCTTTGCATTTTTCCTATGCAAACCAGGTTTTAAGTACTGAGTTCATGTTAGTATTTCTGATTAGTGTAAGCAATTAGTTTAGGAGTCTGGACTGAAAGGGCCTTTTACTTTGATATTAACTTAAAAGTAATATGGGATCTTCTAGCTCATAGAAAGGAATAGAGCTGGCTTGACTTTCTCCAGAATCTGAGTCATAGGGAGCATCAGGGAGCTCTGTGAAACCATATGCTAGTTGTTCATCTTCTATATCTGATCGAACGTAGCAGGAAGGGTTAGAATATTCCTCTTCTTCTATACTGTTGAAATCTTGAGGAATATATAACATCCCTGGGTAGTTCCTACTAACCAAGTCACTTGTGGTTTTTAGGGAGATTTTTCTAAATGCCATCAAATGCATATGTGAAAACTTTGAATACTTGAAACGTTTAAAGCCCAGGGACTCTATAGCAATCTTCCAGCTTTTCATCATCATAGCATGACGGTTCTGATGGGAGGAATCAGGTGTGATGATAAGCAATAAACCGTTTAACACTAATAGTTCATGGGCTTTCTTGCAGCAAATCCATCGTTGGTAAGGTGATGGAAAATAAGAGAGAAGAAGAGAGAAAACAACCACATGGAAAAGTTCTCCAGGAAGAGAATCAATAGGGTTTTTCAGCTGCTTCAAAAAGGCATCTATAGCATCCTGTGCAAGCTGGAGAGGCTGCTGAAGCTGCAGGTTCAGGAAGTCACATTTATATACACTCTGCAGAAAGGGAAAAAAGGACACTTTAGGAATTTGAAAATTACTTCTACCGTATCAGAGATTTTACACCAAACTAGTGGACAGCATTTCTACATAATCCAAGCTTTACTTCTGAAACTTTCCCTTCTAAATTATTCTACTTGCACAGACACTGAACCTAAACTTTTACTCCAAATAATCTTAAAGAGCAATCAAGCCTGGAGCACTTCTATTCAAAAATAAAAAAATAATTATTTCTGTGGAGCAATTTGAAATTTGGGTAAATGTTTTCAGGAATGATTTATCTAAACTTAGTCATATTTACATTCACTTCAACATTTACAGTTCTCAAAAATAGGTCAATGTAAAAACTTTACACAAAAATACCATGAAATAAAGGTGAATCAAAGATATCAAAGAAGATACTGAAAGAAAGGGGTGTTATAAATTCATAAAAGAACAAAACTTTCGATGCCATGAAAAATGTCTTTTAAACCATTAACTGTAACTATCTTAAAAGTAATTTTAATTACATTTATTCTATCAATACCTGGTTTAAAACTACATATTAAAATTAAATTATGACCATGGAAAACACCACAACTAAGGGAATAAATAGCACTGAATAATTTGCTGAATATTACAACTCTATGAAAATGATCCAGAATAAAAATTTAAACTTAGATAAAAATTAGTTGCCCTCTTCATAGGATACTTGAGGCCCTTATTCTTGCTAGTAACTAGCCAAGCTGGCGACATATGTGGACTATAAATTAGGCAAAGTGATACATAAAGTTCTATTACACAGAAAAAGATGTATGTTTTCCTTTTTCCATTTGCTTTTTCCTCTTAAGATAGCTTTACTGAAGTATAACTGACGTACAAACAAGCATGGCTGATGCACAACCATACTGATTGGTGTATGTTTTGACATTTAAGCATTCGTGAAACCATCCCTATAATCAAGTTAATGAACAGACTAACACTCCCTGAAAGCTTCCTCATGAGCCTTTATAATCCCTTCTTTGTACTCTTCCTGTTGTTCTTCACCACTAGGCAATCACTTATGTGATTTCTATGACTATAGTTTGTATTTCATAGAATTTTATATAAAGGGAATAAGACACCATAATGTATTCTTGATTTGCCTCGCTTCTGTAAGTATGCTACTGTATTAAGAATATATTATAGTTTGTTCATATACCTGCTTATGTACATCTGGGCTATTTCTAACTTTTGTCTATTCTAACTTAAGCTGCTATGAATAACTCCTGTTTGACTTTCAATGGGCATGCTTTCATTTCTCTGGGGTACAGATCCAGGAAAGGCATGGCTGGATCATACACTAGTAGGTATGTGTTTAACTTTAAAAAGAAATTCTAAAACTGTTTTCAAAAGTAGTTAAACAGTTTTACATTCCTACCAGGAGTGTATGGGAATTCCAGTTCCTCCAAATATTCATCAACATTTGGGATAGCTAGCCTTTTAAATTTTAATCATTGTAATAGAGGTGTGTAGTGGTATACTGTGGTTTTAAATTGCATTTTCTTAAAGAGTAATAATATTCATCTTCATATGTACTTATTTGTCATCTGGAAATCTTCTTTGGTCAAGTGTTTATTTAAATCTTTTGCTCACTTGGTAAGTGGGTTGCTTTACATGAAAAAAAAAACCTGTTTTCTTATTCTGAGATTCTTTATTCTGGATACAAGTTCTTAATCAGATGTAGGACTTGAAAATACTCTCAGATTGTGGCTGTATTTATTCTCTTATCAGTGTCTTTGGAAGAGGAAACGTTTTACATTTTGATGAAGACCAATTTACAACTTATTCCTTAGTGCAGTGTTTTTGGTGTTCTAAAATTTTTTTCCTGACTCACTGTTATATAAAGTTTTTCTTTCAGTGTTTTCTTCTAAAAGTTTTATAGTTGTATGTTTTACAATTAGGTATGTAATTAATTTGAATTTACTTTTGTATATAGTGTGAGGTATGGACTAAAGTTTTTCTTTTATATATGGATAGCCAATTGTTCCAACCACCATTTGTTGAAAAGGCTATCTTTTCCATCTGAGTTGAAAATTAGTAGTCCATAAATTTGGCCTTATTTATGGGCCATACGAGTGTCTGTTCTACTTCATTGATACTCTTGCCACCAATGCCACAGTGTTGTGATTACTGTAACTTTTTCATTTAAAATTTTTTAAAAGATGTTTGTTTATTTTTGAGAGACAGAGTGTGAGCGGGGGAGGGGTAGAGAGAGAAGATGACACCGAATTGGAAGCAAGCTCCAGGCTCTGAGCAAGCTGTCAGCACAGAGCCGGATGTGGGGCTTGAACCTACAAATCATGAGATCATGACCTGGGCCAATGTTGATGCTCAACTGACTGAGCCACCCAGGTGCCCTGGATTATTGTAACTTTAAAATAAATTTGAAAATCAGGTAGCATTACTCTCAAACACTGTACTTTTCAAAAGTTACTTTAGCTAATCTAGGTCCTTTGAACTTCCTCAAAAATTATAGAGTAAGTTTTTCAACTTCTATAATAAAGCCTCCTAGGATTTTGATCAAGATTGCCCTGAAACTATAAATAAATTTTGGGAAAACAGATGTATTTACAATATTGGGTTCTTCCATGAATAAACATGGTATATTTCTCTACTTATTTAGGTTTTCTTTAATTTCTCTCAATAATTTACAGTTTTCGGGGTGCTTGGGTGATTCAGTCAGTTAAGTTCGGCTCAGGTCATGATCTCATAGTTCATGAGTTCGAGCCCTGGAGTGGTTATGCAGACAGCTCAGAGCCTGGAGCTTGCTTCAGATTCTGATTCTCTGTCTCTCTCTCTCTGCCTGTCTCCCACTCATTCCCTCGCTCTCTCAATATTAAGCATTACAATTTTTTTTAAAAAATTAGTTTTCAATATATATTTTATATAAATGTCTTACATTAAATATGTCATATTTTTGATGCTATTGTTTTTAATTTCTACTTGATTGTGGCGTGTGTGTGTGTACAAGTTGACTCTTGTATATTGGTCTTTTATCTTGCAACTCTGCCAAACTCCTTTATTCTACTGGCCTCTCTCTAGATTCCATAGAATAGCCTAATACATGTTCAATGTCAAGTGTGAATAAAGACAGTTTTAGTTTTAGTTCTTTTGAATCCTGATGCCTATTGTTGCTTTTTTTTTTTTTTCCTGGCTCTATTGCACTGGGTAGAATTTACAGAGTATGCTAAATAGAAGTGGTGAAGGTAGATGCTCTTTCCTTGATCTAGTGGGGAAAGCACTGTTGCTTTATTATTAAGTATGATGTTGGCTGTAGGTTTCTCAGACAGCCGTATTAGGTTGATGGAATTCAATTCAATCCTTAGAGCTTTTATAAGGAAAGAATGTTGGGATTTTTCAAATGTTTTTCCTATGCCTATTGAGATCTTTTTTATTAGTGTGCTAAGGTGAAAAAATTGTCTTTTGAAGATTACTACAGCTTTCTGTTATAACCTGAAGCTGGGATTGTGATACCTCCAGTGTTTTCTTTTTCCAGACTGCTTTGGCTATTCAGGTCTTTTGTGGTTCCATACAATTTTAGGGTTTTTTTTTTCTAGTTTTGTGAAAAATGCTGTTGCTATTTTGACAGGGATTACATTAAATGTGTAGGTTGGTCTTGGTAGTATAAACATTTAAGCAATGTTTGTTTTTCCAATGCCTGAGCATATAATCTGTTACCATTTATTTGTGTCATCTTCATTTTTTTCATCAGTGTTTTAATAGTTTTCCTCTTTACTTCTGAATGGTAAGTTTGCCAGGGAAAGTCACTGATTGGCAGTATTTTTTCTTTCAGCCTTTTGAATATAAAATGCTACACCCATCTGGCCTGTAAAGTTCCTGCTGAAAAATGTGCTTATAGACTTAAGGAAGTTCATTTGTATGTAGTAAGTTGTTTAAGTTGTTTTTCTCTTGGTGCTTTTAACGTTATTTCCTTTTTTCATTCTTTTTCTTATTGCTGCTCTGAATGTGTGAGTTCCACTGCCTTGTTTTCAAGTTGACTGATGCTTTTGCTACTTCTAGTCTCATGTTGAATGCCTCTAGTGTATTTTGTATTTTTTAATTCAGTGTTTATATTCTTCAGCTCTGTGACTTCTATTTGGTACCTTCTCATATTTTCCATCTCTTTGTTGAAGTTCTCACTGTGTTAGTTCATTCTTCTCCTGAGTTTGGTGGCATCTTCATGACTATTACTTTGAATTCATTTTCATGTAAATTATGTATCTCTATTTCATTAATTTTCTTCCCCTACACTTTTTCCTTATTTTTTCCATTTGGAACATATTCCTTTCTTCATTTTACTTGACTTTCTGTTGGTTTCTATATAGCAGATGATACCATAGCCTCTTCCAGTCTTGAGGGAATGGCCTTGTTAGGAGATGAAACTTGTTATTCAACCCTGCCTCAGATCTTGGTTGTCTTTTTAAACCTTTATGCTTGTTTTAGCAGCCTATTACATTTTTAGTAGCTTCCAGTAGTTACGGATGTGCCAAGACCTGTCAGTGTCTTGGTGGGGGATGATCTCAGCACCTAGATTCAGGTGGCCTAGAAGCCAGACCTTCAGGCATCAGGTTTTAAAAGATGCAAATATAGGGGCGCCTGGGTGGCTCAGTCAGTTAAGCCTCCGACTCTGGCTCACGTCATGGTCTCATGGTTCATGGGTTTGAGACCCGCGTTGGGCTCTGAGCTGACAGCTTAGAGCCTGGAGCCTGTTTCAGATTCTGTCTCCCTCTCTCTCTCTCTCTGACCCTTCCCTGATCACCCTGTCTCTCTCTCTCTGAAATAAATTAAAAAAAAAAAAAGTATGAAAAAATATATAAGTCCTGTGGGAAGACAAATGTACATCCTCCTGCCCCCCACTGGCTTTGAGAAACAGGCAATCTGGAAGTATCCCCTGAGTGGGAGTCAAAGAGTGTATAAGGTGTATAAGGTCTTTTCTGGGTGACAGTGGTGAGGTAGACCAAGGCTGAGGGAGAGTGCAAGATGGTGTCTCAGCCTGTGTTTTGAGAGCAACTCCGTTTGACATTAAATGTCCCAAACTTGAAGCAGGTCTCCAGGCTAAAGCCCCAGAACAAGCAAAGAGGTGCCCTTCACAGAAATAGTGGGGAGTATGCCTCAGTCCGTGCAGTGCCCTGGGGGTGAGACTCTTCTAGCCTGCCAAGAACAATCTCTCCAACTGCCATAGTCTCATGGGTCCCAAGAATGCAAGTCTTCCAACCGCATCCCAGCCACCAGAGCCAGGTGATCAAGGGATGCTCCCTAGGAGGCAGCTGCAAAAACTAGCATACCAGATGTGTGTACAGTTCCCCTCCAGGAGACCATGGCACTTAGGAGCACAGCAGAGAGTGAGCTCAAAGACAGGGCCCACCCACAGAAATCTCTGGAAAAGATTATAGTTAGCCCCATGACTTATGTTTAATTAGAAGTCTGCCACTCAGGCTGCAGTCATGGTAATTAGCTAATAATCTTCCTTCACAGTAAGACTGAGATCCTGGGTCTGATGCCTCTTGCTGTGCTGTAGGGGTGATAGCTGTGGAGGAACTTTCCTCATTGATTACAGTTCTGTGGGACCCATCAGTGTAAGTCTTACTGACCACCACAGCCAAGTGATGATAGAGATTTACTCTGGCAGTAGTCACAAAAATTGAGACGTGAGACAGAGAGCATGAGCTCCTTTCTGGGTGACACACACTCTACTATTACAGTGCCATGGTACAAGGAAAACATGATTCCTTGGCCTACAGAGCCAGGAGATCAAGAGGGCAGCCTATGATACTATCTATCTCTAGAAATTACATTTGGTATTTTTAAAGTATGTTCTGTGTCTCCAAACTTTTTGTACATCTAGGATATAGTCATGCTGTGCCTATTTAAATGTCCTTGTTTCCTAATTTTAACATCTGTCAGTTCAGGGTTGGTCTCTGTTGATTTATTTCCTCAATATGGGTCCTATGGCTAATTCTTTATTGGATGTCCTACATGGTGGATTTCTATCTTTCTGGGTGTTAGATGGCATTGCACTGCTATAAATATTCTTGAGCTTTGTTCTGGGATGCAGTTAAATTATCTGGAAACACTCTGATCTTTTGGGGTCTTCTAAGATTTGTTAGGTGGGACTAGACCATTGTTCAGTCTAAGACTAATTATTTTCCAGTACTCAGGCAAGCTCTTCTTTGTACTCTGCCCAATGCACTTTGATTCTTCAGGTTTCTAGTGTGGCTGATGGAAACAGGTACTATTTCCACCCTATGTGACTGCCAGGCACTATAACCTCTACCTCTTTTGAGTGGTACTTTAAGTCTCATGTAGTTTTCTCATTCATATCCTATACTGAGCACTACTCAGCTGAGTACTCAGGAGGACTCTTTGCCCTTCAGGTCTTTGGAGTTTTCCCTCTGTGCAGCTCTCCTATAACTGGTACTCTGTCCTATGAACCCTAGCTGTCTAATTCTCCCCAGGACTCTCAGTTCTGTCTCTACAACTCAGGGAAACATTTGGGCTTTGCTTGAGATTCCCTCTCATGTGTTATGTCCCAGAAATTTTAAAGGCCAAATAGTGGATTTTTGTCTCTCATGTCTTTCATCAATGGATCATTGTCCTTTATTACCTGATATCTAGTGTCTTGTAAATAAATTATTGTGCATATTTTGTCCACTTCTTGTTTGAGGTAGGGGGACAAAAGATCAATCTGGTTCTTATTACTCCATCTTGACTGGAAGTGAACATCTCTTTGTTTTAAAATTAGTTATAGTGGGGCGCCTGGGTGGCTCAGTCAGGTCAGCAGCTGACTTTGACTCAGGTCATGATCTCACAGTTGTGAGTTTGAGCCCCATGTTGGGCTCTGTGCTGACAGCTCAGACCCTGGTGCCTGCTTTGGATTCTGCCTCCCTCCCTCTGCCTCTCCTCTGCTCATGCTGTGTGTCTCTCAAAAATAAATGTTAAAAAAAAAAAAGTTATAGTATTATGAACTGTGGAAACCTGATTCTACTACTGAACTTCTGTATTGTTAGTTCTTTTGCCTTCCCCAATGACTTTACAGTTGCAAGTTTATATCTATAAACAAATTTAGTATTTAATATTTAAGCCCAAGGTTTAGAGTAAATGGTTGTCACATTTCAGCAGTCCCTAAAGGACATCTCTAATGTGTCTTAAGGAGAGAAGAAAATCCCTGTACAGAGCCAAATGCATTTTAAAAGTGTATCTCCTGACGGCACAGGAATTCTCTGCAATGATAAGCTAAGAACAGCTGTTTTACCATAAAGCAAACATTTGTTCATCAATCAGAAGTAGAGATAATGGTAAATTTTATTAGCATTTCTTGATAAAAATTCAAGAAAAGATTCAAATGAAAGTTAAATCTCCATGCAGGAACTTTTCAATAATAATGGCAAACACAGCACTCATTTATGTAACAGGCACTGTACTATGTGTTTTAAATACTTCTTTTCAAGTAGACCTAGCAATGGTGCTATGAAACGTGCTCCATCACTAACTCCATCATACAGGTGAGAAAAAGGGCTCAGAGATGAACCCCAACCTGAAAGATTCCATTACTGTATTCAAGAAGTATTTAATAAGTACTTCATGCAGTAGCTATTCCTAGATGCTAGGTATATAGCAAAGTGAAAACCAATCCCTAGCCCAGAGAGTTAACACTGTAACACATACTCTCTTTATAACATTAAAAATGCAATTTGTGGGGCACCAGGGTGGCTCAGTTGGTTAAGCTTCCAACTTTGGCTCAGGGCATGATCTTATGGTCCATAAGTTTGAGCCCTGCATCAGGCTCTGTGTTGACAGCTCAGAGCATGGATCCTGCTCCAGATTCGGTGTCTCTCTGCCCCTTCCTTACTCACACTGTGTCTCTCTCTCAAAAATAAATTTAAAAAAGTTTTTTTTAATCCACTTTATAAATTTTTGGTGCCTAATGCTTTATCAAAGTAAAATGGCAAACATGAACTTTTATCATTAAGAAATCTATTTTAAAAGTAGAGAAAACAATTTAACTAGTTTCATCTACTATGTACAAATAGCTGTGATTTAATAAAGTTTTGATGGTGTTCAAAGTCCTTGCTCTTGACATCATTCCATAATGGCTCCACATCAGAGTACACTTCAGAAAAGGGTAAGTAAACAAAAAGCCTAAACCTTACAGCTACCTGGAAATCTTGGCAATCTACTAGTCTCTTGAATATAGCAATAGATAACTAGGAAACAAAATAAAAACCAGTACCATATTCGTCAACTAAATGCTCAAAATTAATTCATGGAATATGTATTTGCTATTGAAAAAAATTCCTTATCAACTTGTAAATAGGAAACATACTTGCTATTTCAGGAATGTAAAAGACAATGTAAGTATATGTAGGATCTTCAAGTCTCAAAATAAACAGAACTATGCATACCTCTACAGCAGGTACAATATCTATGCCAACAGTTAGAAATTCTTCAAACTTCAGAAATGGGTTAAAGCAGCTGCCAACATCAAGTAATCTGATCTTTCCTGAGGTCTGTAGCAACCTAAAAATAGATTATTTTCAGTTTGACTTTTATAGGATAAAACTGAGTATAAGAAAAAAATTGAAATGTGAGAAAAAGATCATGTGAATAATTAAGGTCTCAAGGTTCTTGTACACATTTAAACATTACTGAGGGCCCTAAAGACCTTTCATAAATGTCGGGTGTAGGTACCAAACTCTGAAATGAAAACTGAATAGTGAAGAAAACTCATTTAATATATGCAATAGGCTTTTAAAAATGTATATTATACTTTTTAAATGAAAAATCTAGATTAGAAAGATAATAAAAAGTGAGGAGATGTTTTATATTTTTTCAAGTCTCTTTAATGCCTGGCTTAACAGAAGACAGATGAATTCACATTTGGGGTTTTGTGTTCAGGCTGTTGTACCCTATAGTTTGGAAAACTCCACTCTACACTCATCAAAGAGTAAATAAAGACAAATGGTATCTTAGTATTATAAAAATAAATTTTCACCCACAGAAATCCTGGAAGTATCTAAAATCCCCAGACCACTATTTGAAAACTGTCCTTAAAATAAAAGAATTCCTTCACAAATCAAATCTCATTAGTCAGTATTATAATGTCCTTGGACTTCAATTTAATTCATCAGTAAATTAAAGGGATCAAAGAGATCAATAGTATTTTTAGTTATGAAAAATTTTTATTGTGTGCTTATGTCCAAAAATGGCAGAAAAAGGTAAACAAAACTAGAAATAACTGTTATAAAGTTGGTTGCCTGCAATGAATCTCAATCTATGTAGCAGCATGTAAGAATAGAGGAAATGGTGGATTTTATTTGGACCCAAGCTCATAGTCCTAGTGTTCAAAGAGTAAATCAATAAAATTCAGCTTGAGACAATATGCCATTTCCATTGATAATACAACTTTCTATGTAAGATTTGAGAACATACTGGAAAAATAAAGAAAATATAGGAGAATGATTAGGTAAAAATAGAATTGTGGTTCTTTGAAATGTAGAGAAAACCTGTCCAGCTTCTCTTCCTTACATCTTAGCTACCATTTTCCTTTGGATCCACTGAGAGACATTAAACTATAGACAGGTTAATCTCCTGAAAAAGGTACTATAAATCAAAATAACAAAGTTGATTTTCTTTTCAGAAAAGGAATGCAATAAATAGGGGTTACTATATTATTATTTTTTACCAGAGCTTGATGTCCTAGCATTTTATAGAAATGACCATACTTACCATTTGACAGAGTACATGGCAGTGTATAGCAACATAAAAACAATATGAACTAATTAAAATATTTTTGTCAATAAAAAGGTCTAAGGTAAAAGCAAGTTAACTGAAGAGGGCCTTCATTTTCTGTATCTGTAGAAAGATTAACTACTTTTGACAATGACCCTAGATGAATGTTCTTAAAAGGAATAGCTAGCAACTCCACCAGTGAACAGAGCTGCTCCTAGGGCTTAAGAGGTAATTTCATGTATTACAGCAACTTGGGAAACAGTATGTAGTTTGGGTGATAAAAAGTACAAAAAATCTGTAAAGTTGAATTCAGTTTGGTAATACCTGAAATAGTATAATATACTAGGTTCCAAGGAGGTAAAGCCAGTGGCATAGGTTCCAAGCTGCTAAACAGAGCAAAAGATCCAGTAGATAGTGGCCACAGAAATGTCTGGCATTTAGCTGACATTTGTTGCTGAATTCATAAAAATTTAAATACCCAAATCTTAAGTTAGAATAAGTGAAGATCTAGAACAATAGTAACATTATAAACACTATTAGATAACGCTAGCCCCAAGATTAGAAGGACCAAGAGCAAGAGTTCTGGAATCAGAGAGATTAAGACCAAAACCTGATTGTCCTTGACCTGTATAATACGCAGACACACTAATAGGGTAACCATACTTATGAGTTATTTCCAATATTAAATAAAACCACACATTTATAATGTTTGACCAATATTTGCCACATGGCAAGTGCTCAAAAAGTGGTAAATATTGTTAGCTGTTATTGCTACAGATGGAATTTTTTGTGGTTCATCCACTAGTGATCTTCCTAAACATAATATAGAATTTTCTTCATATTAAATTATATAGTAGTTGATTCTGGTAAACTGGCTAGTAAAATATTTCTGATGGTCTCTTAAAAAGTGCTTCTTGTAAATTGTCTATCTGGATGGAGTATCTAAATCAAGTTAATTCAACATTATGATACAATCACCAATAGCATTACCATGGATTTATTAATTATCACTATGTACTTAGTTCATTTCAAATTCTTTGGTTTAGCTCTTTAGTTTTTTATTTGCATTAAGCACATTTACAGTCTAAATAATCACCAAGTCAGCATCCAAGTAATTACCATCCAGGTCAAGAAATAAAACCCTGACTACACCCTGGAAGCAGGACAGTCCCCGATGACGCTCCCTCCGCCCTTTGTGTAACGGTAGCTGCTATCCTGATTTTCATGGTAATCATTCTCTTCATTTCCTTTTATAGTCTTAACCTCTAACCATATGCCTAAATAATATAGTTTTGTATTACATATTTGCTTTTGTGACATTCTTCTTTCTTGGAGAAATGTTTTTCAAAGTTTCATGCTTCTTGCTCGTTACATAAAGGAGGTCTATACTGTGACATGAGGTAATTAAAAGGTTAAAGACTGAGAGAAGTGAGAGAGAAGCAAAAAGTTACATACGTGGGAAACCCCATAAGGCAATCCTTATATTCAAAGAACTGAAAGGAAAAAACCTACAACAAAGAATACTCTTTCCAGCATGATTATCATTCAGAATTGAAGAGAGAAAAAGTTTCCCAAACAAAAGTTAATCACCACTAAACTAGCCTTATAAGAATGTTAAAGGGAATACTTTACACAGAAAAGGTCATAAGTAGAAGAAAATTACCAACAAAAATATGACAACCTAGGTATAAAATGTAGAGGGGGGGTAGTAAAAAGTTCTTTTAAAATGTGTTCAACCTTAAGTGACCATCAACTTAATGATTAACTTATACACTTAGGATGCTTTATATGAACCTCATGGTAACCATAAACCCAAGATCTAGAATAGCTACACAAAAAATAAAGGGAAAGAATATCAAGCATAATACTACAGAAAGTCTTCAGTCACAAACAGAGCAAGAGAAGAAGGGAACAAATAACTATAAATACAAGGAAAAAATTAAATGACAATAGGGAGACACCTATCAATAATTAATTTAAATGTAAATGGTCTAAATTTACCAACTCAAAGGACAATGGAATGGATAAAAAAACAAGTCCCATCCATATGCTGCCCACAAGAGACTCACTTCAGACTCACACACAGAATGAAAGTGAAAGGATGAGAAGAGAGATTCCCTGCAAATGGAAGAAGGGGATGGGGGAGGGGGGAGAAAGGGGAACAGGCCATGGTAGCAATACTTGTATTAGACAAAGTACACCTTAAAACAGAGTAACACAACACAAAGAAAAGTAGTACATAATGATACCTTTATCAATTAGATCTAATCAATCCAACAACTGGATGTAACAATTATGCACTCAACATTAGAGCACCTAAAAACACAAAGCAACTATCAAGACATAAATGGAGAAACTGAGAATAATGCAATAACAATAGGACTTTAACACCCTACCTCCATCAATGGATACATCAACAAGGCAGAAAATCAACAAAAAAACCCTCTTTGAGCAACACATGATCCCAGATGGACTTAACAGATACACAAAACACTTCACCCAAAAATGACAGAATAATCATTCTTTTCAAGTATATAGGAAACATTCTTCAGGACAGATAACATGTTGGGCCATAAAGCAAGTCTCAAAAACTGAAGACTGAAATCATATCATGCATCTTTTCTGACCACAATGGTATAAAACCAGAAATTGATCACAGGAAAAAAACTGGAAAAAACACAAATGGAGATTAAACAACATGCTACTAAACAGCCAATGAGTTCATAAAGAAATCAAAAGGTATATGGAGAAAAATGAAAACAAGAATACAATGGTTCATAATCTGGGACACAGGGAAAGCAATTCTAAAAGGACATTTATAGTGATATAGGTATACCACAAGAAACAATCCAACCTTTACACCTCAAGAAACTAGAAAAAGAAGAACAAAGGCCAAGGTTAGTAGAAGGAAGGAAGTAATAAAGATTGGAGCAGAAATAAAGAGACCCAACAAAAGAATATATCAATAAACCAAGAGCTGATTCCTTGAAAAGATAAACAAAATTGATAAACCTTTAGCCAGACTTATCAAGAAAAAGAGGATTCAAATAAATACAATCAAATGAAAAACAAAAGACAGTATTAGGAAAATTATATGTCAAAAATTGGACAACTTACAAAAAAATGGATAAATTCCTAGAAATACACAATCTTCCAAAACTGAATCAGTAAGATGTAGAACATCTGAACACACTGATTTTCAGTAACAAAATTCAGTCAGCAATAAAAAAAAAAATCTCCCAATAAACCAAAGTTTAGGACTATATGGATTCACAAGTGAAGTCTACCATTATTTGAGGAAAAATTAATACCTGTTCCACTTAAAGGAGTCCAAAAACTTGATGAGAAAGATTCCCATATTCATCTTACAAGGCCAGAATCACCAAAGACACTACAAACAGAAAACTACTATAGGCCAACATTCTTGATAAACAGCTGCAAATATCCCCAACAAAATATTAGCAAACCTTTGCATTCAACACTCCATTAAAAGGACCATTCACCATGATCAAGTGGGAAGTACTACAGGGATGCAAGGATGCTCCAATATCTACAAATCAACGTGATATAGAGCAACAACAAAAAGGATAAAAACCTTATCTCAACAAATGCAGAAAAAGTATCTGACAAAATTCAACATGTTAATGATAAAAACTCAGTCAGTTTAGAGGGAAAAACCTCAATATAATAAAGGCCACATATGAAAAACCCAGAGTTAACATCATACTCATGGTGGAAAAAATGAAAGCTTTTCCTCGAAGATCAAGAAAGAGACAAGGATGCCGACT